GCTATACGATAGCATATGCGCCACGCCGTCCAGCGAGTGCAACAAATCAAGGCATGTCGCGTCACGGCGATGCATGCCGGACACTCAAATAGACGCCCTAGTTCTCCCTGCCACTGACTATACGCAAAGAAACATCTGCCTAGTCTTTCTGAGAACATGGCTCCCACAACAACCCATGCTGAAAAGCGCTGCACTGGGTTTCCGTCGCGCCCCCAACCCCAACACTCCAGTGGAGGTCCAGTAGCCAGCTAGAACGGACAACAATTCCAAACAAGAAACCTGGGCTACGTAAGCCTACCCACACGAGCAAATAGGACATCAATACAGCCGCTACCAAACTCCAAGAGCAGACCAACAACTCGCGCGGGCCCAAGACATGTATGTGTCTCCAGCAACGACCAAGTCATGTCGCGCCACGGCGACGCATGCCTCTGCCACCGACTATCATAAGCAAACAAACATCTGTCTAACCATCTGTGCAGCTGCAGCTCATGCCCACAAGCACTGCGCTGGGTTTCCGTGGCGCCCCCGACCCCAACTAAAACTTTCCGTGACACTCCAGTGGTCCAGTGATGTCCAGTAGCCAGCCAGAACGGACAACAGTTCAGACAACCCTGGGCTACGTAAGTCTACCCAAACAAGGAAATAGAAAATGTGTTCGTGGCCGTTACCAAACTCCAACAGCAGACTAACAGCTCGCTCTTTTTCTCTGCAGTACGTCACAGCTTCGGTCCGGCGATCACTGCGCGGCCTGAACCGGCACGCGACGCGATCGTGGCTTGCCGGAACATGCCTTCTAGCTCGGGCGCAGTCAGGCGGCCTGAGCCGGCACGCGCGTCAAGGCCGGGGATGCGGCAGCTGTGTCGCGCCTAAGATCAAACTCCAGGCCACGCGCGCGTCTGCGCGACTCATCGCAGCGCTTTCCCGCGCTTTGCTGAGCATGACCCACTGGCGACTCGTGACAATGCCGCTTGTGCCCAGGCGGTTGCAAACTGCGCGCCGCTGCCAATCAGAGTAGTTGGGATGCATAAGGGCATCCCAGCAAGTCTCGCAAATGCCAGTGCGTTCGTATTCCTTCTTGCCGCCATCGGAGATCCACAGGTTATTTTGTCCAGCACGTGTGCATGCTACGCACGTGCGTTCGGCCAAGCACTGGCCCACGCCAAGATTGTCGCGATACATCGCTTTCAGCTGCTCCAGACGCGGTCCGTCAAATGTGTACAAGTCTGCCATGGCAAGCACGACGCCGACTGAACCGTCAAGCGTCGACCTGGCAAAGTGGGGCCTGTCTCGAACAGCAACGTGCGAATGTGTTTGCGGGTGTAGCAGCTGCTTTGGTTGCTCTTGGGGTTGGCTTAGTTTTGTCGTTTTGTGGTTGTCAGTACGGGCGGGTCAGCCTGTTAAAATCAAAACCGCAATGACAATGACATTGAGTTCCTCCTTGTCATGGATGTTCTTCATACTCACGTATAAATACTGGATATTGCCACTTTTCGCGTTGGCTTTGTGTTGTCATTGCAGGAGCAGCTCAAAATACGGTTTAAGGCTTGAATTTGGCATGACCTTCATACTGATGCATCTTGAACACTTACTATTACTACCTTTCAACAGTTTTCCAACAATCAGATGATGTTTAGATGTTTAAATCATGTTTAAAAAACAACGAGACAGGAGTTAGTTACATGTTCAGATTCAAGGGTCAAGGTCGCTCGTCGTTTGATTGGCAGTTTGATGCAGTCTGGCCGCCGCAGCAATTTTGGCCGCTCAGCTTGCCTCTCAGGTCCGCAATGTTGTGCCCCCGCTGCTCGGTCGTTCAGCAGAAAAGGAACTGGCGGCCCGCGCGCTGGAGGTCTTCTGACCCCTACATTCATGGCAATTTGGGCTGTAAGCAGTGCGGGTGTGCTTCTGACGAGGAGATTGACACGCACTTGGCGCGGGTGGGCCGGCTGCTGTCATTTGCGGCGCCGCACCAAGGCTGGCTTGACTCATGGATGGAGCGCTGGTGCAATTTGGGGCGCAGCACCATCAAGTGGTTGAGCCATCATGGGACACTGCAGTGCCGACCTGGGGCAGAAGCAGAAGACCCAGGCACCTTGCCACCATTGCATTGTCATTTGTGATACGTTGTCTTTGACTAGTTTTTTCGTGTCGCCCCCTGACTGAGGCAATGCCGCTTTGGCGCTGGCACTCCGCCTCATTTGGCCCACGCACGGAAGGTTTTTGACCACGGTGACGGCCGGCGACTACATCGAGGCGATTTTCGGGGTGACGAACATCGTCGGCACTTGGACCGGGTTTTCACGCTTCGTGGCCGTGATGGTGATGAATCTGCGGTTCCTGGTGCGGTCACTGCCACTCACCACGTCGCAGCTCCTGAAGAAAGTTTTGGACCTACTCCGACCTCTGCGAGATGGTGAAGAGCGTCGACCTTGCGACTCGCCGCCGGGCTGCTGCCGCTGGTTGGTGACCTACTCCGACCTCTGCGAGATGGCAAAGAGCGTCGACCTTGCGACTCGCCGCCGGGCTGCTGCCGCTGGTTGGTGAGTGTTGGCTGCGCTGGCGGCGGTGTTTTTCGGTCGACCTTGCGACTCGCCGCCGGGCTGCTGCCGCTGGTTGGCATTGGTGAGTGTTGGGTGAGCTGGCGGCGGTGTTTTTCGGTCAATCAATGCATTATTAAATAGACAGTCTGGGGGAATTTTATTTAAAGAGGATGACATGTGGAGTGAAACTTGACCCCATTTCAAATTTCTGGAGTACACCAAACAAACATCTGGCCCACCAAAAGAAACCATACTTGGTCCACCCTCCCCACGCATCTAAGATCTACCAATGAACAAAATAGAAATTGACAAATAATTGATTGACCGCTTAGTTAGCTACGGAATCCACCGGTCAAAAACTGACCGCTTAGGCTTAGTTAGCTACGGAATCCACCGGTCAAAGACTGGTATTAACATGTCGGAATCGTCAGCTGAGTAACTTGCCCGGCGAGACCATCGGCAACCCTGCGCGACAGCGCCTTGAAAGGAAAACATCGGCGGACTTGTCAAACATTTGCAGTTACACATGCAATTCAGAACCTCCCGCCCATGTAGCAAATTAAAAGAGGGAATGGAAAGAATTGATGGCACTTTTATCAGGCAGTTTCAGGCCCTGCCCTGCCAAATTTTGCCAAATTTTGAAACTAAGGTAATCGTTGAACCCCTCGTGGCAGACTCTGTGCGTGTTTTGTGGTGGGCGCTTCATTTTGCAGGAAGTTGTCCAAGTCGTTGAAGGCGTTGTCGATTTGCGTCTGGACGATTCAAGGCAATTGCCGCGACTTAGACTTGGCCAGCACTAAGCCGCCCGTCGAGTTCCGTCCGGGCGGCTCAGGGCTTGTCAAGACTTGGCATTGGCCAGTCCGGGCGATTCAAGGCTTGCCAAGCCTTGGCTAAGTCGGTCGAATTGAATTTAGGCGTCAAGCCAGCCCTAAGTCACCCGTCGATTTGCATCCGGGCGACTCAGGGCTTAGCTTGTCAAGCCTTGGCCTTAGCCAGCAGTAATCGCCTGTCGGATTGGTCTAAATTTAGTCACTCCCTGGCCAAGCCTGACTGGACGCAACAGACAGTGCGTGTCCGCGTGTGTGCCCTCCATGGCTGCGAGCGATGACTCACCGGGGGCATGGGGAATTTTGAACCACGTAGCCATTTGGCCAACAGTCCCAGCGCAGCAGGTTCACCAGAGGTTGCCACAAATCTCGCGATGGAGCTGGAATGCGACTTGGCATTCGCCAAGGCCGACGAGTTCAGCGTGGAAGCCAACGGCGAAAAACAATGACATGAAGCTGATCCAGGACGAGGAGGACAGCGGCAGCAACGCTGCAGTCTTTGCGGCTTTATGGCGGAGAAGGCGCAAGACGTGGGAGAGCACTTATCTGGTGGGTAGCTGCTTGCCAAAAGACATTTCCTTTCCTTCCGCAGCAGCTGCAAAGCTGGCCAAGCAACCCTGGGTTCTGGGGACTACAACCGGCTGCGGCTGCCTCCCATGCAGCAAAGCAGGTCTCTCTAGCGACTGGGCCCGTGGAACTGCAGGCCTTGTCAAAGGCTTTCGCGCCTGGTTCTTGCACAAACACCAGGAATCGCACAACCACGTGAACGCGGTCAAGCAAATGCTCTGCATCGACGACGGCGGCGGCGCTGGCGAGGCGATGGCGCTGTCAGAGTTTGAGGCCTTGCTGAAGAATCTGCAGGGCGGACGCTCGCAACGAGGAGACTCAATGTCATTAATTTGATGTTTCTCGCAATGTGCTTTCCTCTTTTGACCGATGAAAACATTGCATCTGAGAGTCCGGGTTAATTAAAATTAAGTCGGCTGAGGCTGTTCAAGCTTTGAAGGGCAATGCTCTGACAAGACTTCGCTGATGACGTGGTGCCTGCACGAGGCAATCACGCAAGCGGACCGGGATTTCCTCAAGACTTGCGAGACCGTCAGCTTGACAAGAGATGGAAGGCGCCAGCGGTTGCTAATCCGGTTTGGAGGCTGCAACGACGCAAACATTTGTCGATTGCTTTGTCTCCATCATGTCATTGGTCATCTGTCAAAGTTCCCACAGCACGGCCCCTCGACCTTACAATCACACATGATCGAAACAGCAACTACTAAATTTAGTAGTTGCCGTTTCGATCAGTGTTGTGGGAACTTTGGGTTGCTTGGCTTTGCTTGACGATTGCCAGGACAAGTTCCAGATCCGGTACGGGGTTCTTGGTCTGGCACGCGGGTGTGGCGAAGCCATTGCAGAAATAGCCGCCTGATTCTATCAGCATGTTTTTCAGACCCAGTGTCGTTGCCACCATTCCCTTATAATAAACATTGACAACCTGTCGGGATTGCTGCCTGTTGCCGCTCAGTTTGCCAAGGCTCAGGGGACACGAAAGGTGCTGCGTGACTTCTGCACGAAGTTCCATGAGCCTCCCAGATCCTACGCTGGACCCCCGCCAGAATTCGACGAGAACCTCTACGACATGCTGCGGCAACGCATCGAAATCATCTTGACGGACGCTGCTTCTAATGAGGTTGGGGCTTCCAACGTGAACCGCGGGCGCCGAGACCCTCGCATCGAGGCGGACGACGCTGACATCTTGCTGCCAGGTTTGAAGCTGGTCGCGCGTGACCACGCCCACGCTTTCCGCCGTGTGCTGAAGCGACCTTTCCATTGCAGCAGTTACTTGGGCACCCTGACGGCGGAGCATGTTTTGGGAAAGAAGTCGATTGCGCAAGTGATCGACAGGTCCTTTGTCTTCAGGCAATGGTTTCAGGAGGAGGTTGAGAAGCATCACGGGACCATCAGCAACTTGAAATCAGCGACTCGTCGTCTCAAAAAGCAATACTTTATTAACACCGTTTGTCGAAGCAGCCAGGTTTCCTGTTTGGCTGACTGAGGCGAAACACCGCTTCGAGTCGCACACGACCCCGCTGTGCCGACTGATTAGCAACCTTCCTGCCATTATGTCAGTTGCGCAACGGATCATCCAGCATCGGCAAGACGCCGTAGGCAAACATGTGAAACAATGATGAAAGCAATGGCTAGGATGATTTCAGCCAGCGAAGCGACAGCTCAGAGCCTACGTGCAGGGCAACAGTTGGATACACCAAGTTTGCCATGGACATGCTGTCCAAAGGCGAACTTGCGTCTTTCTCTTGTGGGCAGGCTCGGCGGCTGCAGCCTTGCGACGGGGACACGGTGGAAAGATGCCTGGATCGCATGGTCGCTTGGTCCCGCTTAGCCTTGGAAGTTCTTCAAACTGAGTTTCCGCACTACTCCGTCTTCAGCGCCTTCGGGGCCCCTGGGCTTGAACAGAACTAAACGATGATAATCTTACTTGTTTTGATGTTAGCCTGTTTATCGACCTTATTATTAGGAAGCCTTCCTCTGAGAGCTTTTCCAAGGTGTTTTCCTTGAAGTCTGTGACCAAGCAGCAAACCGCTTTCCAGAGCGCCGGGGATGACAGCTGCAACAGGTTAGCCCTGGCGGCTTCCAGGAGCAGCTGCAGCGTTTGAGGCCCTTGGCTGAGAAGCGCTACAGGGAGACCAACACGACGTGCAAGGATGCGTGGATGCACACAATGGCAGCGACGCAGCGGCGGCAGTCATTGAAGGACTTAGTTGTGGGATAAAATTACAGTCCACTTTTTCGACAGGCGGGTCCCCGCGCAGGAGTCCTATCCAGCAGATGACCTGGCCATCGTCGTGCGCCGGTATCTGGCTTGGCAAGCATCGTCCAGCGGCGTGGAGCAGAACTTTGCAAAGGGCGAGCGGAACAACGCCACTGGCCATTCCCAAGCATCCGCGTCGTACGATGCAAGGGCCATGAAAATATTGTTGGCGCCACTAAGCCCCCCGGATTTCAAGGTCATTGTCACGAACGCGGCGGAACTCTATGCAACTTGCCGCTCCGGCGCCCTGGCGTGATTCCACTTGCCACTTTAATATGTTTTAACACCGTTTGTTTTTTGCTGGTTTTCGTGTGTGTTTAAGAACATTGACTTGTTCGCCTGGCCAACGTCATTATCATCTCACTTGTCCGAGGCGCAAGCCGCAAGCGGACGCAGGAGCGGATTGACAAGTATGTGAAGCGCGCCAAGCAGGAGGGGACAGAAGCAGCGTTTATCAGATCCAGGCGGGACAGTGTTGCAAACGCAACATCCTCTTTGAACATGGCCGACCTGGCCTTCGACATGGACGAGCACCCGGCCACAAATGACAAAGTGGCTGAGTACTGGACTGAGAGTTACGAGGTTGAGTACCAGTTCCAAAAGTCAAAGCAAACACATTACAAGGTGGACGGCGTCCTGGACGGCCTCATTGATCAAAATGCAGTGGGCCAAGAAACTATGGAGACAGCAGCCAAAGCTGAGCGCGACGCGGACAAGGGGCATATCAGAGACAGGCTCTCCAAGGACGCTTTGCAGATGCGGCTTAACGGCTCCATGGATTGGGAAAAGATTCAAGGCAGCAAGGCTTGGCTGGACCCCGCCATCTCTGTTGCAGACTTGCAAGTGGCAATGAGCGCCCGAAATTTGGTCAAAACCACGGAGCGATCGGAGGCAGACATTTTCATTGTCAACGACGCTGGCAATTTGCCGGAGAGGGTGAAATTGATGGCTGCCTTGCTTGGTCGGCAGATCATGGATGTCTGCCTCCTGGAAGGCAAGAAAGGGATCCTTCTGAAGTTTCAGCCTGCCTCGCAGACGCGGCGTCAGAAGGTCTTCTTTTCCACAAAGTTCCGTGAGAGCCACGCCCAATTCCTGAAGCCGATCAAGGACATTGTGAACCGTCCCGGAAGTAAATGGAAGCTCGCAGCCGTTCGGGCAGACGCAACCATGATCTTGGCAACCTCGGCTGAAGTTGGACGAGCTGCTGTTCTCAGTGGAAATTCGCAGGGTGAACACAGCAAGGCGAGCTTTCTGGAAAACATTTCCAGGCTTGACTTGCGCGCTTCGGGCTTTTACACGCCATAGTAGCGTGTTCGCTGGCAAGGGGAAGTTGCCATCTACGTAGGGGCTGCCTAAGCGCAAGGCAGAGACATAGTGCTGATCGAGTTGAAACAACCGGGGGCATCCTCTCTGCAATGCTGAGTTTCAATCTCGCCGCAAACAAAACTAAACAAGTGTTTTGAATTGACTTGACATTGATTGACAGCGCTCGCGAAGCTTTCTTGGCTCTTACTAAGTGGCGGGTCCCGGCTCATCAATGATTGTCAATGGTCAATGGCAAGGCTCGTAATGGAGCCCGACCTTGCGCGCCGAAGGGTCGCGGAGACAATCCGCACGCTGGCGGCAACCCGTCACGCTGTGACTTTCAGCCAGTTCCTTAGTAAGCTTGTGCGAGGGATGCGAAGTAGTTTTCACACAGAAATTGCCGACCTTACTATAGACCAAGGCTTCGCCATCTTTCATGTTGAGCGCTTCATTGAGCGGAAGCTGACCGACCAAGAGGCGTTACATTGTTGGGTTTTGCCCAATCAAGGGCCGGCAACTGGTTTAGCCTTTGTCCCGAGTCTCGCTGCAGGAACTCGCGGTGTTGACACGCATCGACGAACTGCTCGGCGAAGAAATCACGGTCAGCGAAGCCGGACTCTCAGTTACGTGTTACGCGTTAGCCTTTTTCACTGCCATGTCAGGTTCGGACTAGCTTGGCCATTGCGCCTGAGGTGCCTGCTGACGTGCAAAGGGCGCTGAAGGATGACAATGAGGCTTGCTCAATCCTAGTCCCGGAATCTAGTGTGCATGATGTTGCGCCAGGTCACGCAGCACCGGACTTGCGCGCGATGCATTGCAGAAGGCTGCTGCGGCCTCACTTTGAACGTCAGGTAGGGTGACGAGCTGTTGCATTGCTACTGTAAGGTCACCATTGCAAAAAGGCAGAAGAAGCCTTGCCCTCAGCAAAACTTTGAGTGACGAGCGCCATCGGGGGGTCTCCCAACTGACAAAGGCAAGCGCCAGTGAGCAGACGGATGCTAGCTAGATCTAGCTAGACTTAGGCAACCCAGGGCACAGGAGCTGGAAAACGCACTTTGCACGCGCAGTGCTGTCTTGCTGGCAATTCGTGAACGCACTCCGTGTGAATTTGAGTCTTGGAATTTTAGGGTCAAGCGCGAGCTCATGTCATTTCCAAGGTTTATTCCAACGCTTAATGATGCTGCTTTGGTTAACACTTGATTACCATTATGATTATTTAATGTCCGCTTGCCAATTTTTTCAGAACGCAACCTGCGCGGGCGGCATGGCGACGACGGACAAGGGCGAGGATCTGATCCAGGCCACTCTGGCCAAAAAGGGCTACACCGAGGTGTCCAAGCTGGGCGAAGGTGGCATGGGAGTGGTCTACAAGTGCCGCCACGCCGACGGGGGCCTCCGCGTCTTGAAGTTCTCGCGCGGGGACTTCGAATCCAGCGAGGAGGCCCAGGCACTCCTGGAGGAGGGCAACCAGATGAGGCAGCTAAGGCACCCGAACCTGGTGCAGATCTGGCAGTTGCTGACCCCGACCTTGGTCATGCTGGAGCTGGAGTTCCTCGCGGGGGGCGACCTACACTGTCGGATCCACGACCCCCAGGGGCGGCCGATCTCCAGCGAGATCCTCATGATTCGCGCTTAGTCATTGCTTTCCGGGGGTTCGTCCAGTGAACACTGGCTAACCGACCTTGGTCATGCTGGAGCTGGAGTTCCTCGCGGGGGGCGACCTACACTGTCGGATCCACGACCCCCAGGGGCGGCCGATCTCCAGCGAGATCCTCATGATTCGCGCTTAGTCATTGCTTTCCGGGGGTTCGTCCAGTGAACACTGGCTAACAAGACTGAGGAAGTGGATGCGCGAATGCATGAGCGGGCTCTACCACATGCACCGAGCCTTAGTAGTCTTAGTCTATTAGTCTAAGACTTGCTGGGGCGCGTGTGGTTCAAGCTGATTACTGATCAACGACGACTGTTGTTTGAACTGTTTTCCGCATCTAAGCTGTCACCGAACAATGACATGATTCAAACAGTTTTCTGTGTTTGTGATATCGGCGAATCCAGTGCTACTAAGGAGCCAAGCTTATGCATTGCGACATAAAGCCGGCCAACATCCTCCCAGACCGCGAAGATCGCAGACTTCGGCCTGGTCTACAAGTTGGGGGAGACAGACACTTGGATGCACGTTGGCTTAGCAGAAACATTTAATGTTGTTGTTTCAATTCAGGGCTTTGCCAGGCATAGCAGGCTGAGGCGTTTCCTGTCAGGCGTGGCAAGCCCCGAGTTGCCCGAATTGTCGTCGGGCGACTCAGGGCTGCCAGGCTGAGGGCTGATCCTGCGGCTGCATTTAATTTCCTTTCAAATTCAGTCCTGGCAAGCCCTGAGTTGCCCGAGTCTGAGTTGTCATCGGGTGACTCAGGGCTTACCGAGGGCCGGTCGGCAGCTGCGCTCCCCTCTTAGTCCTGGAAAGCCCTGAATTGCCCGAGTTGTCATCGGGCGACTCAGGGCTTACTCAGGCTGAGGGCGGGTCGGCAGCTGCATTGCCTCTTAGTCCTGGCAAGCCCTGACGAGTCTGAGTTGCCCAAGTTGTCATCGTCGGGCAGGCAACTCGGCTTACTTAGTTAGGCTGAGGGCTGGTCGGCAGCTGAGCGTTCACTCTTGGTCCTGGCAATCCCTGGGTTGCCCGACGGGCCCCGAATTGACAGACAGCTGAGTTGATTTGCCGTTATGATGTGTTCAAGGGAACTGCTTTCAAATTCAAGACGCTGGCTCAGGCGCCCTTCCGCGGAACCATGTGTTACATGCCCGCCGACGAGGTCTTATCCTTCACACTGACTCCATGGACGGACCTCTACGGGCTAGGGGGGGCGACGCTGTTTGAGGCCGTTGAGAAGCATCTAATGATGCCAATGGGGCCGCTTGCAGCTTCCTGGCTTGCATTGACTGACTTAGGTATTAAAATTGATTTTGATAGCATTGATGCCTGCGCGGATGTGATTCCATTTAATTGCTCAAGTCACTGCATGTCACTGCTTTACTTTCAGGATCGCAGGGCGATCCGGCCCATCCCGCACAAGAAGGCCGTCCAGTGGAGGGCATACGACGGCCTGCTGGCTGGCATCTTCAAGAAGTGCGTCGACAAGTGGAGCTGGATCAAGGGCGGCCAGGACTGGCGGAGCTCATCCAGGAACTCCGCGACTACGAGGACACGATGGGCAACCGCCAGGGCCCGAATGCTCCTGTGGCCGCCGCGGAGGCCTACGCTTTCTGCCTGAATTTAATAGCTTGCCAAGCGCGAGTTGGTTGCCTTCGGCATGTAGGCACCAGACTAACTAAGGTGAGGAAGATTCGTGCCTTGGCTTGGCTTTCATTTTTCTAGTTTTCAAGCTTCTAATTAAGTAAGCTATTAAATTGCTTGGCGTGAACTGAGGAAAGTCGGGCGATACGCCATCAGCAGATGCCAGAGCGATGGCAAACCGGGCGAGAGCCGAGAGGCGCATCATGATGGCAATGGACATTGCCGTTTCCATATCTTGTGTTTGCTGTCATTGGCACGTTGACTTAAAGTATTAGTCTTAGTCGTCTGTAATCTGATGGCTGCTTAAACTTAGGTAAGCGGAAGAAGCAGCGCACTGGCCCGGAGTCAGCGGCGGTGGTGGGCGGCGACGACGAGATGAGTGACAATGAGGTTGTGGTTGTGGAGGATGACGAGAGCGCTGGCTCTAAGAAGACGGCCGACGACCCGCCGATGCCCGTAGGGACACCGCCTGGTTGAGCTATGTGGCCCAGTGTACTGCACCCAGCCTGCTCAGTGTCAGCCGCCCCGATCAGCAGGAAGTGCACGGCAAAGGCGGCCGACGACAATGGATGCGAACAGCTTGGCCGATTTTTGGCTGCACGATTGCTTTGTTAAGGGTTTTCATTTTTTGACTGACTGTCGGGGCACCCAGGGTCGCTTAATTTTAATTCCTTTTCCCCCCCTCCCCCGAAAGCCCCGCAACTCTTATACGTCGGGGCACCGCAACCGCTAAACGTCGGCACCGCAACCGCTGTACGTCGGGCTCTCGCCAAGTGAACCTAGGTTCGTTTACGGGTGTGTTTGGTGGCGAGGGGTACCCCCCCCGTCGGGGGGGGGCGCCAACCGAACCTAGGTTCGTCTGGCGAGGGCTACCCCCTCCGTTACGTACAGTGACGCAGGGTGTAACGGGGGGGAACCTAGGTTCGGTTGGCGAGAGCCCCCCCCCGACGGGGGCACCCCTCGCCAGGGAACGCTTTCAGTGGCAAGATGTGTTTTACTTTTTGTCTTGCCAGCCAAGGCGGTGACGACCTGCATTGGACCTGGCCTGACCAGCCTGAGGACGAGCCTGCCTCTGAAATGTTCAAAGGCAGCACCTGTACGTCTTCTTCTGACCGCCGCCGGGCCGCTGAGCGACTGACCTGCCAGTGAACAAATTATGCTTGAGCGGCTGTGAGCTGAAGTTGGCGAGTCACTAGTCTGTCAGTCGTCAATGTTTGAAGCTAGGCGCCAATCTAAGAAATCTGCCTATAGGTTGATTGACATTGTCAGGCGGCTGAGCAGTCATTGAGGCCAAGCATTAGCTCAAAGGTTTGCAGCAGCGTGGCATGAACCATATTTTTGCAGGTTGGGCTCAGTCAAGCACGGCTGTCGGCCTCTGGCACAATGCCGGAGCATTTCAGCAAATGGAAGCTGAACAAGGCTGAGCAGAAGTCAGTCGAGGAAGAGGAGAAAAGGATCTATGCGGAGCGCAAGACTGCTGGCGATTCAGACGAGGACGCTCAGAAGGCAGCTTCAGAAGCCGCGGCGAAGTCGAAGGAGCTGTCAACGCCAAACCATGATGTTTTTTGAAGCCCTGTCGTTTTCATGTTTATGATGTCTCTCGTGCAAATCCATCAGAAAATGCAGTCTTGCCTTTCGTCAGGCTCTGAAGGAGTCAAAGATGGTGAAGAGCCAGGTCAAGAAGAGCCAGCCACAGTCGGCGGCGGCGGCTATCGATGCTCCGGAAACGGCGCCTCAGAACAACACCCAGTACTACGAAGCGCTCATCGACGCCGTCAACGTGATCCTTCAGTGCCCCACCTTCGTTGACCTTCAGACGACCGCTGCGCCGCTGCCGATCAACACCAAGCCGGGAGAAGACCAGTCAGGAGTTCAGGCGGGAAGGTTTTAGTGCGTTGGCGGATTAAACCTAGCCTGCGTCTTCATTCGACACTAGTACTACTCCGTATCTGTGCTCCGGCCTTTCTACTTACCAATTTTACCGCGAAACAAACAGCATACATGACGACAATTAAAGGACTAGTTTTCGGATGTAACTGGTAACTCAGCAGTTTCAAAAAGATCGCCATCCTTCAAATTGTCGTCTTGGGTGGAGACTTGCACTTGTTATGTTTGACTCCTGTCCTTGCAATCCACTACGCGGAACATCCTTTGCATGCTGAGAGTTTGACCGTGTTGCTCCTATTGTGCTGATTACACCAGTTTGACACCACTTCTGGGCAACCAACAACGAGCGCAAAAAACAACACAAACGCCCGCAAATACAAACAAGTGCCTCAACTCATAATGCAAAACCAGTGCATTTCCTGCATGCGCAAGGTGTCTGCGGGCAGTTCGTGCCAAAAACACTGAATTGCTGCAAACGTACCACTTGTCTAAAACAACGAGAAATTTCTGGTAGAGCGAATAGTTGTTTTTCAGCTTGAATTACACGGGTCAATCTGCCAGGCAGTTTTCGACCCACGGGAGTGCAAGGCAGCATTGACGAAGGAAGGATGCTACAGGGCCGCGATCAACTTGATGTGGATTGACCCATTTGGGTCCACAACGCCCACAGTACCGCTCAGTGTGGAGAGGGTCCGGGAACTCGGGCAATTTGCTTGTCCCGCCGGGGATGCAAAGCACTTGACCGAGAACTTCACAGTCGCGGTCGACAGCCTGGACCAGGACATGCTGGATAGCAAGGGGAAGTGGAAGGCTGTGAGCCCGGAGGAAATGCAGCACGCCCTGCTGTTCACCTTAGCGGATGTCATCAAAAACCAGGCAGGTGTTCGGAAATTAGCTAGCGACGAGAGTTTCGCGGTTTTCAGACACGTTTACTGACTGACAGGGATTTAATAGCTACTTAGAGGGTAATTTTGTTTGTAGTCTTCGGACGCATTCAGTGACTGATGTTGAAGCTGCTAAGGCGCCTGATGAGAAGCTTGCTGCCTGGCGCCGGGTCTTTTTGTCGGCGCCGGCAGTGTTCAAAGTGGTGGGCGGGGGAGACAGCTTGTACTGGCACAGCTTCCACCGGAGGCAGCAAGTGGTGCAGACTTACGACTCCCTCAAGAGAAGCGCTCGACAACTCGCTTTTGAGGTGACTGCCTTCAAAAACAAGAAGGAGTCCGAGGCTGGCGAGAGACTTGGAGTTAAGGAGGTGCAAGACATCTTCCGGTCCAAGGCCCTCATGGCGAAATCCTCCGTGAAAGGCGACATGGCGGATGGATTCGTGAAGGACTGCCTGTTCGTCTATGAGAAGTTGCTCGTGGACACAACCTGCAACGAGGTGCTGGACAAGTTGGAGAGCAAGTATGGCTCGGAGTCGCCATTGAACTCCCTTCAGAAACTTCGGGTGCTGATTGAAAAAGCGAGAACATGGAGACCAGGCCGGGGAACAGCGCTGCCATCGGACTTTCTGAATCTGCGCAATTGCTTTTATTTTTGCTTTGCGACCATCTATTGAGGCAATGGATTCTGAAAGTGATTTGCGACATGGTGGAGGGAGGAGCGCTTGAGCGCGAGACCATCACCAAGACCTACCTCGCTGGGACGCCCACAGCCGCATCGCTGGTCGAGCTGTTGAAGCTGAAGCGAACTGTGGCGCAGCACTTTTTGCAGGCAAGAGAGAAGTGGCCTGAGAGCGAGTTGTCCATCAACAAACACTTGTTGAACACGGCCCTCTTCAGTCTTGGCAAGTAAACTAACTTCTCAACATGGATCTGTGGTTCAAGTTTATTGTGTTCAATGGTTGCTAGGCTTCTGAAAAAATGCGTGGTGTTAGGCATTGCATTGATGGACTCAGGTGGAGATGCCACGCAGCCAGTTCGACACTCAGGACCTTGCCAAGATCCACTCGAAGATCATGACGATTTGCAGCTACCGGAAATACGTGACCGCTGCTAACCTTGAAGGTCCATCTGAAGTTCAATGGATGTCTTCGTTGAAGCGCTCCAGCATGCTTGTGCTGAGGTTGATCGAGGTGGGGGGGGCAATGCAATCTTAAAAGCATTATTGGCAATGGCCCCCTTGGCGCGAAGGACATCCTGTACACGACGACGCTCAACGGCCCCTTGATTGCTCTTCTGAAGAAAGGAAAGGGAGCCAACCCGCTTGGGCTGCTCGAGATCGAGACGTTCTGTCTACGATGGAAGGCTTGCGTGGCAGCAAAAGACAATGAACTAGCTGCAGAGAAAGCGCTCTACAAGGCGGCCGAGGAGGAGCAGGACGAGCAGGACGAGTGCACGAAGATCGCGCAGGGCAGCGTGGCTCCGCAGCCTTCAAAGTACCCCAAGGGCTCGGCTGAGTGCCTTGGAGAGAATTGAATTTGACGTTGCTTTGCTCGTGCGAGCGTGCGCCATTGTTGCGGCAATGCATGAGCAGTCAACGAAGGCATTGGACAGCGACGGCAGCGCAACAGGTTGCGATCTATGTGTCGTTGCGGGCCGAGCCTCCAACCCAGTCTGCCGTTGCCCGGGCCGTAGGGGATAGCGGCCTGAATGGCGACCTCCGCGGCGTGCAGGGCAAGAGCGGTGTCATGATCCACTTTGACGCCAACCTGTTTGCAGAGGCCGCCAAAAGGCCTGACCGAAGGTTTCCGCCACTGAGCCCAGCCCTCATGAAAAAGTTGATCCACGGCAGCATCAAGGGCCGCGGCGGCCTGGCGAACAAGAAGGTGGCAGAGGATCACTTCGACCGTCCAATTGACGGAGACTTCATTTTCTTGAACGATGCTGGGCGGAACGTGCTGGAGAGCCTCTTGGCGCCGTTCAAGTCGAAGGATGGCAAGGGGGCCTTGGCGCACTACCTGGAGCACACGGAGATCACGCTGTGCCTCAGCCCAGGACGACGATGTCCGTTTCAAAATTCGATTGTGTACTTATAAATTCGTCAAATTTGAAAGCTTTGGTCTTCGCTTTCATCGGTTTTACTTGTCTTTCAATCCTGTCGAGGAGTCAATGGAAGGAAAGAAGAAACTGAACCGCGGCATGATCAACCAGATTCAGCGCTGGCACGTGATCAGCACCGAGCCCATGTCCACTTGGCTGCCAGAACGCAAACACACCAAATTCCCCGGCTCCAACCGAGGGAATTGCATCGGCTGGATTGGTTTGGGCAGCGCTTCGGATGAGTGGACTTGACCAATAAGCAGCCCGACTCAAATTTAATCGTGCCTTTAAATAGTAGCATGTTTGGGGGCCTCAATCATATGCGTCGCCCGATTTGTCAGGAAAGAGATGTACGGAGACAAGATGATGGGCGCAGATTCTGCCGAGGACCCAAAGGAGAATGAAGAACAGCAGCGAGACGGCGACTCTTATGAGCCTGCCTTCTTCAACCACTTGCCGGTGACGCTGTACTCAGACGCCCTGGCCGCGTACGAGATCACAGGCGTGCTGGATTGCACGCCAGGCGCAGGAGATCTGGCCAAGGCGGCCTTGCTGCGGAGGATTCCTTACATGGCCCTGACCATGACAGAGACTCACGCTTCGCTTCTCCAGAGTGAGCTGGTCAAGTTTGTCAAGCAACAGATGCAGACAGAAGGGTCTACGTTCTACGCGCCTGAGTGGGCGACAGCTGGCAAGAAGGATGCGGAAGCCGAAAAGGGCAAGAAGACGCCAAAGCGGCCGACGCCCGCCCCCGGAGATCCGGCGCCTGAGCCGGAGCCTAAGAAGCCAAAGACGACGAATAAGAAGACGGGGAAGGCGGAGAAGAAGCAGAAGAAGGAAAAACCGACTGGCAACGCGCCGCCGGCCTCCCAGCTGATTGACGATTCTGAATCAGACTCGGCCAGTCAGTGAGCATACTAGGCTAGGCCGCAGCAATCCTGGCTGCTTTTTGTTCAAGACGCTTAGGCCCAGACTTCCGCGGCGGATCAACTATCAAATATGTTTTCTTCGGCGGCGCAACGTCGTGGGTGAAACACCGGCCTTGCGCCGGGCCTTACTAGGGTCTTGTGTCCCTGCGAGGCCCGGCTAGGGGACGGTGGGGGTGTTTTGAAGAAATATTGAAACTTACTGCTGGCTTTGCTCAAGGTAATGTAGTTAAGCAGAGGCATCAATGTAAATTGGAAGCTGCTGAGCTGAAGACTGGGCGAAAAGGACACCTTATTAGGGCTTTGAGTGACTGGATTGACCTTCAATCTGAATCATGGCCTCTTAGGCCAGGCGCCGGCAAGGGCGCTGGCAAGGACAAGGGCGCCGGCAAGGGCGCTGGCAAGGACAAGGGCGCTGGCAAGGGCGCTGGCAAGGACAAGGGCGCTGGCAAGACTGCGCCCTACGCCGCGCCGACGGCTGAGGCAGCGCGCAAAAACCTGGCTGGTTTTCTGCGCGCGCACCCGAACTTCGTGTTCTCGGCTCGCCCCGAGCCGGAGGGGGAAGCGAAGCAGCTCTATGAGCGACTTGCCGAGGGCAGCACCGGCTTGTATAAGCAGATGATGCGGCATGCTCGAACTGAAGAGACTCGGACAGTAGTCAACACGGTGATTCTGCCACGGCTGGCGAACGAGTCGCACTGGATCGTAGATCGCAACAATAGGGTCGAGGTGGACTCTTACAATTCCGGGGTTTCTAGGGCCAGTGGCTACACAAGCCGCACCTATAGACGCAGGCAGTAGCATCAGCCGCAAGCCGAGCGCGCGTGCTGGTTCGCCGCGAAGCGGGGCGACTCGCAGGGCTGCACAGTCGGCTTTGTCGCGTGCCGGTTCAGGCCGCGCGAAGAATAGAGCTCCGCGCGAGAGAGAAAAAAAGGGGCGTTGAGACGTTGAGATCGGCGCTGCAGAGGGGTCACACATGCCTGACTCGCAGCTAAGGACAAGTTGTTTGATGCTGGTGGACGAGCGAGAAAGCAAACCCACATTAGTTTTGACAAATTCCCACCCGCAGTCGGGTGTTTCTGGACCTTGCGCAGCTGTCTATGCTTGAGCTGTTTGGCAACGACACCCATACATAAGACACACACGCACACACGCACGCACGCACGCACGCACGCACGCACGCACGCACCCACACCCACACGCACACGCACACGCACACGCACACGCACACGCACACGCACACGCACACGCACACGCACACGCACACGCACACGCACACGCACACGCACACGCACACGCACACTCACACACACACACACACACACACACACACACACACACACACACACACACACACACACACACACACACACACACACACACACACACACACACACACACACACACACACACACACACACACACACACACACACACACACACACACACCACAAACACACACACACACACACACACACACACACACACACACACACACACACACACACACACACACACACACACACACACCCACACACACACACACACACACACACACACACACACACTTATCTCGAGAGGCTTCACTAGCCGAGATGAAAAACGCAGTCAGTAAAAATGCTTGAATGCAAACGCAAATCAACAGGTCACAACATCGACACCGAACAGGAAGCAACAGCGACAAACAGACACCGCAAAAAGAATCAGGAAAGAGGGTCAGGAAATAGGCAGGTACGCCGGATTGATCAGATCCGGTATCCACCGAAATGCCGTAGCTTCATTGGACTGGATAGGCAAATCGGCTCCAGTCCCCCTGCAATGTTGAATTTCCGTCCGTGCTCCAGGACGCTTCACACACACGGAGCCCCAACTGGGGCGACATCACTTGTGCAAGGCCCATTGAGTCTTGCAAGCATCAATTGTGCGAGAAAGTCTTGTGGCGATGACTGACCACACATACTGGGCTTTGGAATTGGTCTTAAGGGAACGGAGGAGTTCAATCTCTCCCTCAGTCCAAGGCTGCGAGGCTTCAGGTTCGGCCTCAGTAGAGGCATCAGTCCTGGTCGATGTGGTAGCTTCGCTTGGTCCACGAGCAGGTTTTGGATGCCGTAGATCGTGAGGAGGCCAAATCACGTGCGCGGCGAGCTCCTTTTTCGCCGGGAAAAGACGAAGGAGGGGTGGGCGGAGCCCAATGATCAGGGAATTGTTCGTCATGATCAGTGGGAAGGTGTTCATCTGGAGCATCAGGAGGTGGCTCAAAAAGGTCCTCGAGGGGGGCCAGGAGGGGTGTTGGTGGTGAGTTGGTCAGGTCCTCAATGGCGGGGTTGAGCGTGGCCTCCGGTGCCAAATCAGGTTCGGCAGGCGGACTCTCAGGGAACTCGCGGATGGTGGCGATGCCTTGTTGGGCAATGCCAAGGATGAGTTCGAAGTCTTGGAGCAGCTGGCGTGCTGTGTTGGTATCCATGCTCGCAACGGGTTTTGGTCAAACAGTCAAACAGCTGCGGCACGAAAATCAGGTCAAATCTGTCAGGGTGCAAAGGCAGAGAAGAAAACCAGTGTGGTTTCGCAAAGGACGGTTTTTCTTCTCTTTGTAAGGTGAAACCGTGTTGGAGGTACAACCTCTTCAACATTGCAAGATCCTGATCTCGCTGAAATTCAGGAAAGGAAACTCGGCTGATCAGGAATAATATCCAGATTCCTTATGTATCATTGGTGCGGCTGACTTGACGGAGAGCATGTTGTGCTTCTCATGCGAGGGAATGAAGGAGATGGTGCTGCTTGTGAGGTTCAGTCGGAACCCCAAGAAGTCCAGGGCGGCTTCTGTTTCCAGGAAGATGTCTCCTCCATAGAAGTGTTCGTCGCACAGTATGTTGGCTGCCGGAGTCGAGAGCCACCTGGGGGTTGCGATCACGAGTCTGTTGTCCACGTAGCGGAGCAGGAGAGTATCTTCAACGGAGCGAAGTCCCGATGGGGTGTGAGTGTTGGTCCAACATTGTTCGGCGACCGCGATCACCATCAAACAGAGAGCTGGGGACGCGGGGGATCCCATCGGTGCCCCACGTGTTTGCCTGAATGAACGAAGGCCGACAGAGAAGATCTGCTTGTCAAGGGTGGCCTGAATGATCTCGGGGATGTCGTCGAGCCACAGGGTGCGTTGTGTGGGTTTGTGTCGGCGACGGCGTCCGTTGTAGACGCGGGTGATGGCAGAGGTGTCAAGTGTGTCCACTGTGAGGTGTGTGGTAGAGGAGTGTGGTTGTCGTTGTCGGTACCAGGGTAGCAGTAGTCGCCAGGCGAGGAAGGGTGCAAGCATCGGTCTGGAGGGGCCAGGTGGAATGAGGCCCCGGAATCGTAAACTGGATCGAATGGCGGAAAGACATGCCTGGTGGTGTGGTTCAGGCAGGTGTGTGGCTATGCGATGAAGGACATAGAGAGCGGCGGGTGGGAAGTCTCTGCTCCGTATGTAACGGATGGCATCAAATCGTCGTAGAGTGTTGCTGCCAAGATCGCCCAAAAATCGCCACAAATCCAGGCGGTTGTTCATGCGCTTGGCCAGGAAGGCCTGTTGTAGGGCGATGGTCGTAGTCGGCGGCGTTTTCGCCAGATGGTGGCGAAGCCCATGTGCCGGGATTGGGAGAAGTCCAATTGGCGTATGAAGCCCGTGCGTGGCCGGAAATGTCTCTCGATGAAGCCAAAATTGAGAGACGGTTGCAGTTCCTGGATGTAGAACTGTTCAGTGGCAAATAGGTCCATTGCCGGAACGACAGTGTGAATGGGCACCGAGGTGTAGTGGTGGAAAAAGTCAAAATGTGCCCACCACTGGACTGCCAGTTCGGCATTGACCAGATGATGTCGCTGAACTTGGAGTAGTTTGCGAAGTTGGCTGCGGCCCCGTGCCATGAGGGAGGCGCGAGTGGCTCCGAGGTAGAAAAGGCCTGCCACTTTGGATGGCTGGTGAATCTCAGATAAACCGCTGAAGGGACAAGCTGAGAAGAGAAATCGGAAGCAGGGTTGTCCAGGCCAAGTCGAGTAAGCAGGGCTTTCAGTCTGCCGGAACCACAGGAGAGATGGCAGACGTCAAGTTGCTGAAGCTGTGCGAGTAGCCAGGAGCAAGAATGACGTGCGGTGACGTCATCGGTTGGGAAGAACCGAAGAGTGAAACGGAGGACAGTGAGAAGTTGGCAGCAGTGGTGTTGCCAAAAATTGTGCTGCCTGGCTGTGCGTCGTTGTCGGTGTGCTGTTGAGAGTCACTGGTAGAAGTGACTCGCAGCGGCCAGGATGCGGCCCAAGGCCGATGACCCCAGTTTTGATAGGGTTCGCACCGGGATGCCCCATAGCACAGCGGCTCGTTCGAGTTGGGCTCTGGTGTCGGAGTCCAGTGTGGTTGCCCATTTTGCGCAGTCGTTGGACCAGCTTTTTAGGACTTGTTTGCTCTCTTTGCTGGTTTTCTGAGAGGTGATCCATCGCTGGACTTTGGTGTCGGAAATGTCGGGTGGGAAGTTGCTGGTGAGCCATTGGCAAACGTGGGGAGGTGGTTGGAGCAAGTCGCGGGGCTCCTTCCAAGTGGGTGGGGAGGGGAGGGGGGGAGGGGTCGGGGTGCCGCCGTGGGTGGAGGGGGCTGGAGGGTTGCCGCCGTGGGTGGGGGGAGCCGGGGGGGGGTGGGAGTCGTCTGCAATGCGAGTGGGCAGGGGTAGGGCGGGGGATCCGTCCTGCGGTGATGTGTCAGGTGTAGTCAACCGTGGTCGCTTCATGCCGAAGTCCAGGAGGGAGGCCTGAGATGGATCGGCTGGGCGTTTGTTGGATGAGGTGGGTGTGGGGGGGGAGAGGGGGGGATGAAGCCTGCTGGGCGAGTTGGTTGTGTGCGTCAGCAAGCTGTTGCTGAAGCTGGAGTATGGTGGCCGCGGAGGCCGGATCGGCCGTAGTGGTGGGTCGGAGGGAGATGAGGAAGTCGAAGATCTTGTTGGTGAGTAGCTTCATGGCTGCTGGTTTGGTGGTCGAGGCGCCCTCCTGCGTGGCTACATGGAGGGCGAGGGCGTCCAGGTCGAGGTGCCGTTGTCGGATTTGGCTGAGTAGTCCAGCAGCAAACACTGATTCCGGCATTGACTTTGCGACAACGATGCGGACTTCGCCTCCGTGGGCGAGGTGACGCAACCACCAACTGTTCCACTGTTCGTGCATGAGGTGGAGGAGGGGGACGCGAGCGATGTCTTGTCCCTCGATGCCCATTTGCCGAGTAAACGCGGTGTGCGTTATGTCCTTGGGCAGGTCGTACCCCGCGACGCGGGTGGTGTCGTAGTGATCGTCGCCAGGGTTGAACTCGGTTGGTGTTGGGACTGAGTGGATGGGTCGAAGGGCCGGGGGAGGTTTGGATTGCGAGGCGGTGGAGGGGGAGGGGGAAGGGGGAGGGCGGGAGAAGGGGCCGGGGGGAGGGGGGGGAAAGGGGTTGCCGCCGGGAGGGGGGGGG